TTTCTTTCTTTCTTTCTTTCTTTCTTTCTTTCTTTCTTTCTTTCTTTCTTAAGAACAGGATTGGAGTTGTGTGTCTTAAGAGGCTGAGTGAGAGATTCTGAACCTCATTTCTAGTATACATGGCACCCAATAGAGTTTTAAAGTTAGCAGTGCTGGTTTACATCTCTTCTGTTCAATGATATAAATGATTTGCCATTGCAGAGCTGATGTGAAGAGATCCAAATGCATTATTTCTTGTAGTGTTTACAAGATCATACTTATCCTCAAAGCAGAACTGAATGAATTGCTGTCCTTTCTTCAGTGATCTTTCCCAGTCCACATCCCCTCAAAACATTCTAAACAACTTTGCCTCTGCATTTAGCTCTGAAATTCTCTGTGCTATGCAGCACATTGTGTTTTGGCACTGTATAAATGGGTTTTCACAGTTGGCTGCAGACCTCTTCAATTTCGTCATCCTTGGCTTCTGTTGGTGCAAGGCTTAAATGAGGGCTCCTTTGAAAGAAACCTGGCATTGATTAGTCTGGATTGCAACAGGAACGAAAACGCACCCCAATTCAGAATAAACGCCATTCCTTTCTCGACTTACTTTTTCTTTCTCATTTACAGACCACAAAGTCTGTTACAGGAGTGTTGAAGGGGTCCTGGACAGTCAATCAATGCTCAGAAAGGCCTGTTATGTCAATCTTTGTACAATGCAAATCCTGAATTACTTACTATGTTTCAGGGTGCGGTTCCTTTTGATCCAGAATTTGGATGTTCCAGCTGGCAATTTGTAGTTGTTTTTGTAACCTGAAACTGCCCTTTACAATGCTGATGTTATTAGGACAGAGACGTCTTTTGAGGCTTTAGCTCAACTTCATTATTGAAGTGTCAGTGTATTCAAGGGTTTTGTCAACCTTTTCTTGGTTGCATAGTGACTGACTTAAGACCTGAGGGGCTTATCTCTTAATGACAGCAAGTCTTCTAAAATTATTGTGGCTGTTGGCTTGCTGGACCAGAATAGTTTTCACCTTTGTATTAAAGGATGTGCTAACACAAGCAGAGCTTTACCACTGTGGAAGTGGTAAAAAAAATGTAATGTAATATTTAAAGTCGCAGCCTATTTGCAGGTGTTGTGTAAAAGGGCTGTGCAGCAATGAGAATTCATGGTGGCATTCTGGGTAACTCAGTGAGAATTCCTTTGGGAACTATGCAGCTGCACACACCAGCTGGATGGGTTCTGCCAGACTTCTACAGGTGCAGTAGTTGTCCCCCATGAACTGATACAGTGGGGTTTGGGAGCTCTGGCCACAGACACTCCTGTTCTCTTTGGGAGTGTAACAGGGTAACTGACTTACTAAATGAAATTGGGCCCAGCTCTCCTGTTCCAGACCAGGGGTGCCCTAGTATGGTGATCTGCCATTGGGAGTTATTAATGGGAGAGAGCCCAAAGGAGAGAAAGTTCAGAGTCCTGAGTGAGAATGAGAATGTCTGGAGTCCTAGAGTAGAGACAGCTCAGAAGAAGAGCCGAGCTGGCTGGGAACTTCAGGGAGGGAATACCTCAGCACTTGCAATCATCACTCAGCAAGTTACATCTTAATTTAAGCAGTGTTTACACTGAGGTTTTTCTCAGTCTCTCACTGTTACATGCCACAGGTGGAGCTACACTGGTGGTAGAAATGGTGAAAGCACTACAGTAAAAAGCTGCCAGACTTGTTCTGAGAGAGATTAGATCAGATGGTGGCATGAACACTGGCAAATGCTTTACAGTACATTGTTGCTACCGTAGGTGTAGCTAGCTTCATCAGGCAACTGTAGGAGTTTTTAAGAAAAAGCTCATTGCAGACAGTCTGGGTCTTGCAAATGCTGATTCATCCAACTAGTCCTGCAGGTAATCCCATTGAAGTCATTATGTTATGTGTCTTTATAAATAACCATCAAATCTTAACTGTAGTTGTTCTTAACCTGAGGGGTATCTGAACCAGTGACCTAAAGGATCTATATCCTATTACCACTCCCTTCAGACAGCCAGTTGCCCTAACGGAAGGAATTTGCAAGATGCCAGTCTTGATTACTTACTTAAATCTTGCCAAAAAGATGCAGCATGAAAGAGAGAGAGAGAATTAAGGAAGTGTTACCTGTGTAAAATTTAATATATTATCCAGGTTACATTTTATGGAAGAAGTCTTTGTTCCAGGAGAACCAAAAAGCATAGCCAAACAGATCAGTCACATCAGAAGTTAGATCACAACATATATAATTTATTAGGATTCTTCAACTTTGTTTTATAAATCAGAGTAATTGACAGGATGGGTACATATAGTGTAGAACTCATATTTTATTACAGGAGAAGTATCTCTTTTTTTGTTCATGTCCCCTTAGACAGGAAATGAAATTACACCCTCCTCCCCAAGCCAATCAACACTCTATTCCCCAGTGTATTGAGAATAGCTTATAAGGAAAAAAATGCAGTTGGCTGAGGAGGTAGTTATTTAAAATATAAACGGCGGAGTAAATTTAAGATTAATTTAAAACATTGGAAGTTGTCTGAGAGTTGCGGTAAGTTTATTTTATTTTATTGTCATGATTTCCAGATGAAAATAATTAATTCACCCTGCCAGAGAAATGGCATTTCTGTGGTCTGTTTCTTTTCTTAGCCCAGACTGCCATTCCCCCACAAACATCCTCCTTCTCACCCTGATCTCACCTACCTTCTATGGGAGTGGTCTGCTCTGAGTATACTAAGGTGAAGATTTCGAAGGGAGCATTGGTGAAGAATAAAGGATAAATTATCCGAAGGAATTTATCTTTAGCTGAAATTTCTGGACACTCTCTGGGAGTATAAGTTAGCTAAAACAAACAATGTATACCTAGAAAGAATTTTAAAATGCATATTGAAATTTACCTAAACCAGGGTTGAAAATCTGAAGTGTTTTTAATGCAGTTTCTTTCTTTCCCATTAACAGAGAAATGCCAGCCACTAGGAAAAACACTCAAGCATAGAAAAGCTGTGACTTCAAGAAAAAAAACCCTCAGTTTTTGCGTGGCCAGCCCTTAGAATAGCAAGAACAAAGCCCACTTTGATTTCTACTTTTGTGCTATTCTTAAATGCTGCATTATGATACCCAGACAATATAGTGTTTTGAGCTCTATAAGTACCTAGATAGAAGTTTCTTGAATATGTATTAATTTAATATTTCAATCTATTTTGTTTATATTTTTAACTTCCCTACCAATTATGCAATATTTGATAGGAAAACACTGGATTATTTGTAACATTTGACTCTAATATTAACACAGGAAGAGCTGTAGTAGTTTGGGTGTTATATTGAACTTCTTTGGAGCAGCTGCTTGTATATATTTATATAAAACATATAACTATATTAATAGCATTTAATTTTTCATAGGCAGGTATCTCCACCAAAACCTGGGATATCTGTTGATGAAAGAAGAATCACAACAGAAAGAACTACAAGGTAGGCCCAACATACAGTTGTTTGTAAATTGTGATACAATTTTTATAAGGCAGGAGTCCCCAAAAATTTTTATATTGCAGATTTTGAGTACAATTTTCAAAAACATCTAAGTGAGTTAGGGTCCTAATTGGATCACATCAACGTGAACTAGGCACCTTTTTAGTTTGTGCCAGCAGAGTCTACATGGGGCAGTTAGCGTGCAACATGTTAGAGCGCTCTGCAGTTCATACCCCCTGTAGAGCACACTGCAGCACTGTGTAGACAAGCTCTAAGTCTCTTTAAAAGTCAATGGGACTTAGGATCTTAAGTTACTTAGGCATGATTGAAAACTTTATCCTTCACCTTAATAGTGAAACTGTCTCTTGGAACATTCCTGATTGCTCAGACCAACTTGTCTCTTACTGATGATCAAATAACATTGGTGTGGCAACTAAAGTAATTACATGGAAAAGTAATAGTCAGAAACTATTTAATCTTGCTTTAGCTGGCTTTTTATGTTACTTAGCCTTTTGAAACAAGCAGGAGAGTTGGAATCATGTGACCAGCAAGCTCCCCCTGGAGAACAGTTTAAGAATCACTGCTATATGGAAAATAATAGTCATATATGTCCTATTCCCTCCCCTGCCCACAAAGACTATATTCTTGAATACTTAAAAAAAAAAAATCCAATTCTCTGTCTTTAGGGATTATGTCACAAAGCAATGGTGGGGATAAACTGAGTGTTTTATGTAATCTCATGACTCCAGGAGCTGCACCTTTAAGAAAAACACTAAATATCAGGAGATGCAGATAGAATCATGAGTTAGCAACCTGGTGGCACTAGCACTATTAGTTGCTTTCCTCCTACAGGCCCCCGTCCCTATTCTCTCCACCCATTCTGTTCCCCCATTCGCTCTTCCTCCCTTCAGCAGCTCCTGCTCCTCCTTTACTTCCTGTCCCCCTGTAGTCCTTGTCTCCCTTGTCCTCCCCAGTACCATGTCCCCTGTCTCCCCACCCTCCCATAGGTCCTGCCTTATTTCCCAACTGCCCCCATGGTTCCTGTCACTTCATACATCCCCAGAAGCCCCTCACCTTTCCTGCCTGTGGGGCACTCATGTCATGTCACCAATGCTACCTCTTCCCCTTTCTGTTGCTCTTCATGTCTGAGAAACTGCAGGGCAATTTGAAAGCAACCAAAGGGGAAGACAGAGAGGCCATCTGCATGCTTCATCAGGCACCACAGCAGCCCTTGTGGTGGCAGCAGTCCAAGTCCTCCTGCTTTCTAGAGCCCAGGTGAATGTGTAACATTCATTCTGGGATGCAGGAATGCGTGAAGGTCTGCCTACATACATTAGTGTCACATGAAATCTGTGATACTTGACATGTCTTCAATTCCAGGGTCAGGGTTTAATTAAGACAAGATGTAACAGGTGCCTGACTCCCATTGACTTCAATAGGCTTTGGATAAGGCCCTAAGTGAGTTAGAAAAAACTAGGGCTATGTGTACACTAGAGACTTACAGCAGCACAGCTATCAGCATAATTAAACCGTCCCAAACGAGCAGTGGTAGCTATGTGGGTGGGAGAGCATCATCATGAGATTGGCTTAAAAATAATATATTTTTTATTCTTTTAATCCGCCTTCTCTTTTTTGAGCCTTAGGGTTTATGTTTTCAAGCATTTCTCTACAACCAGGGGCTAGAAACTTACTTTTCTTTTAATGAAAGCTGAGATTCTCACATAATCAAATGAATCCAGGATCTGAAGCTTTAAGAAAACCATTAAATGTCATGAGACTTGTGATCACATAGTGAGAGTTGGCAACACTGTGTTAGTTGCCATAAATATATAAGAATTACAAACATAACAAATTTAAATGTATCAGTAATTCTAGAAGAATATGTAGATTACATATTTTTTAATAGCTCGTACGTAATGTTAGACCATTGATATTGAATGCCCTCTGACTCCCTCATGGTAATTTTGTTTGATCCTTAAAGAAGACAAGATCTTGGTAATCTCAAAGTGAATCCCACGGCTGACAAAAGACAAGGGGAAATCTTGCAAAGCCCTTTGTCTTTATCTTTTGCTAAATGATGTTTGAAGATAGAACTGTTTAATGTGCAGCTATTGGAATTTCAAGTAATGAGACACATGCAATACTATGCACTAAGAGAATGAGATTGGGCTCTACAGGAAGTCAGAGTGGTACTGTAGTGGGAACAGCTTTATACTTCCAACAGCTTTATACTTCTCTCATTTCCTTAACAAATCAATGATACAAGATATTAACCTAATTAAAGTGTCCAGGCAATGTTAGGATTGATTTTAGGTAGAGCTGGTTAAAAAAGTTTTTGACCAAAAATTTTACATTAGAAAATGCAGTTTACTTAAATGGAAACGTTTTTGCAGACACATGTTGAAATAGAAAATTATTATAATATATTACATTATTTTATATTGCTTCAACATTTTTGAAATGAAGTGATTCAATGTTACTGAAACTAAATATTTGAATAGCTCTGTAATCAGAATTTGTTTGGAATTTTCATTCTGCAAGAAATATTAAAATTTCAGCTTTTCTTTCCTATTTGGAATGAAAATACATTTTGCCATGTGAGAATTTTCCATGGAACAGAAATTGCGTTTTCCAACCAGCTGTAATTTTACGGAGAGTAAATTTAAATTTTGAAATGTCAGACAATGGAAGTGTTGTCTGCCAGCTAGAGACTAGAGGGTCTAGCATGAGTGGGTTTATCCAATTAACATGTCCCCCAGGTCATAGCTGGACTTGCTGTCCCACCAACACAGTGAGAATGAAATCAGAATCCTGGTGGTCCAGAGGGGTGACTGGTCTTCAGTACAAACCAATGCTGATTAGCTTCTTTAGTTTATGCTATGTTTTTTTTTCTCAGTGGGGACTCATTCTTGCATACATCATAGTAGTATTCTGCCGATTTTATGATTCAGTAATCTCATGGTTTAAAGTTCATTGCTGGCTAAAAGGCATGCAATTTTTTAAAAGTTATTGATGTAGGGGTGTTTTAATCATGATTATGAGTGCTAAGAAGACATTTACCCTTTTGACTCATACGTTAGGTGTAGTTGGTTGTTTCTAAAACATAATCAGGTGTTGCTCGGGTCAAATGGAAATACCTGAAAGGGTATGTATTTACTGGTTATATTTCATTGAATTAGCAATGTAGGCTTTCAACTTTGCCATCAATTCGACTCTATCTTTCTTGAAAAATGTGTCAATAACCTCTTTACTTTAAGCAAGTCCTTAATTTTAACTAATGGATGTACTGACTGTGACCTGCTCTGGTTTTGCTTTATCTTTTATAGGAGCCAAGATCTTGATAATCTCAAAAAAAATCCCACAACTCACACAAATAACAAGGGGTAAGTCTTGGAAGCATCTCGGTTTCTATTTTTCTGATGCAGTTGGTAGTGTATAACTATTGGAGTTTGAAAAAAGACTAATATTAAAATCCATAAAGTCCTTAAAGGACTAAAAAGTAGCACCAGCTGTTCAGAAGTACAGGATAGCATTAGAATGAAAATAATAGCAATGATGAAATAACACATGTACTATTGGGGGGAGGGATAGCTCAGTGGTTTGAGCATTGGCCTGCTAAACCCAGGGTTGTGAGTTCAATCCTTGAGGGGGCCATTTAGGGATCTGGGGTAAAAATCTGTCTGGGGATTGGTCCTGCTTTGAGCAGGGAGTTGGACTAGATGACCTCCTGAGGTCCCTTCCAACTCTGATATTCTATGATTCTAAACACCCAGGTGCTGGGGGTGCTGCTGTACCCACTGGCTTGAAATGGTTTCCATTATATCCAGGGTTTACAGTTTGGTTCAATGGCTCTCAGCACCCCCACTATACAAATTGTTCCTGCACCTCATCCCAGGAGGCTTTTGTGTGTGTGTGTGTGTGTGTGTGTGTATGTGAATCCTTGGCACTATCCATGCATGTTTATAGCTGCCTCAGAGTTCATCAGTGTCCAATAGAACTATAGATTTTTAGATATATATTTTGTAAGGGATTAAACAAAATTTGGAAGAACTCAGAATAGCGGTGTTTGCTAGAGACAGAGCAGTGTTAAGCAGTTAATAAATTGTCCCACATTCTAAAGGGACTTACTTGTGTGTTGGACCTCAATGTCAATAGAGTGAGATTCAGACCAAGGTCCTTGTTGTCCATAAACCGTTTTATGGAATGAGCTAACAGGAAGCTGCCACACTACTTTGCTAGTAGGAGCTATGCAATGATCTCCACACTTAGGACCCAAATTCTGCCTACACTTACAAGGATTACACTATGTTACAGTGATGCCCTAAGTTTATAGCTATGATGTAACCCCATTATTTTACCCCCCCTCCCCCCGAGTCTGGGCATAGTTATAACTCCCTGAGCATCAGTGCTACTATACCCAGTCCAAATTTTAATTTAAAGGGAAATGTAGCTTTCACATTGGGCCAGAGCCTGAGAGACACTGAGGCCTGTATCTACAAAGGTACTTAAGTGTTTAAATTCCAGTTTTAAGCTCCACTGTGATCCACAAAACTCCTGCTGAACCCTGTAGATGCCTAAACTCACTCAGTGCCTAAATATTCAGGGTAGAAGTTTTCTGCCTCTGAGCATGCACACTGCCACTTCCCTCTAGGTACCCAGATACCATCTCCCACCTAAGCCTCAGAGCGATCCATGAACTGGGGAAAGATAAGCATCCTCCGCCTAACTTGTGTGCAGGGCCCAATCTGGTAGGTGTGCTCAGAGGCTGCCTACTGGATCAAGTCCCATTCAAAATCTAGAAGGAGATGGAGGTCATTGTGCCCACCTGATAATGCTTAGCTTAGTGGTTAGAGCATTCACCCGGGATGTGGGAGGCCCCAGTTTAATTCCCCCTCCACTCCACTCCCCAGCAGAGGGAGACACAGGATTTGAACAGGGATCTCCCACCTCTCAGGAGAGTGCTCTAACCACTGAGAGGTGGGATATTCTGATGTTACCTCAGTCTCTCCAGTTGAAGCAGTTCCTCTGTGGGTAAAAAGTCATTGGAGCAGGAGGACTGGACACTAGGTCTCCTGTCTCCCCAATGGGTGCCCTAACAACTACTGGACATTCTGTCTCTGGCCCAGTGACTCTAATTATTTGTTCACAGTGGATATCCACAGCATCACAATGCCCAAGTCCCTTTGTGGATCTGGGCCTGCATGTCACTGACACAATTGGAAGTTGAGGTGCTCAGTGGCTCTTAGGAAGCATCCATCATTTTGAAGGATTAGGCTACTATGAGTAGACTCAGTTAACTATGTTCCCCTTTGCAGGCTGAACTATGTGAGAGACCTCCACATCAAAGTGAAATCCAAACTAGCATCTTCTTGGTCCACAAAGAACAACTTTAACAAACGAGCTAAAAAAGAAGTTTGTAGTCAGAGCTAACTGGCTAGGTGGAGCGAAATTAACTTTATGGTTTTACTCCCCACCTGCAGCCAGGACCGGCTCCATGGTTTTTGCCGCCCCAAGCGGCGGAAAAAAAAAAAAAAAAAGCCGTGATCGCAATTGCGATCAGTGGCAACTCCACCGTGCCACTTTCTTCTTCGGCGGGAATTCGGCGGCAGGTGCTTCCCTCCGAGAGGGACCCGCCACCAAATTGCCGCGGAACAGCCCGATGTGCCGCCCCTTCCCCTTGGCCGCCCCAAGCACCTGCTTGCTGGGCTGGTGCCTGGAGCCAGCCCTGCCTGCAGCCCTAGAAAGGATTTATCCTTTTGTTTTACTGTTACAGCTGGTTACATATTGTTCCATTTTTCATGTCAGTAGAGAAAGAGAAAGTTATTTAAAGTCAAAAGAAAAGTCTTATATTAAAATTCAGCTACTTGTTTAAGCTTACTTGTAAAAGAGAAAGTGTTTCTCTATATTTAAACTGTAATTGTGTTGTATTTGTAATACAGTAATATATTAGGGTTTAATTCTTCATATTAATTTAAGGAAGGTGGTATTAAAATACTTCACAACATAAGATGAACAGCACAGCTTTAAATCTACCATAATTTATTGGTATAATAATTTAATAGTATAAGTGGAAAGAATCAATGTTTTTAATTCTATTTTTGTTAATTTTTAAATGCTTACATTTTTAGTCCAAGGATGGAAATTTAAAAAAAGCCTCAGTCATCAAATATGACAGCAGATAACTTCTGTCATTCCAAAAAACACACTAACTGGACAAATGTATATTTATTCAAAAGTTCCTTAACAGAATGCAAGCTTCTTTAGTTTTAATGTTTACAATATTTCTTATCTTTGTGAACTAATGCTAGAAACAGAAATCTATGCCCTAGAAGACTGTGAATTAGTCAGAATTCTTCAGAAACTTCATTTCTCCTTTCACTGGCACATATAATGTAGAATAGGAATCTAAATCATTTGATAGTTTTCATATATTTAGGTCCACAAAAGGGAATACTTCTGTGGGAAGCATTAGAATTGTACAACTTTCCTCTTGCAAATGGAAAATTAAGCATATTTTTGTGACTATCAATAACAATTTGGCATAACTATTTGTGAACTATTAACGAACGTATTCAGTATTCATTCTTTTCCTGGGGAATGGGCATGTTTTTCTTCATTTTTAAGAAAGAAATCCTATTTATATCCAATTTTATAATCAAGCAAGAATATTTTAACATCACTCTATTTTTGTTGTTTCACAGAGGGAAAGACCTTGATGATCTCACTGTTGTAAATACTGCTGCACAGAAAAATAAGAGGCAAGGCCTGTAGTGAGGTTTCTCTCATATTTTAAAAGGGTTTGTAGTTGGGTAGCTGCTTAAGTGTGAGTCTTGTTACTGAGGGTTTATTTCAGTAAATGTGGTTACAGGGGTCAAAACTAACAATTAATTGACTTGGTCTAGGTTATTAAAGTAAAACCCATATTAATTTCTTTTTAACTTCCCAATAAATACAAGATAGTAAATGGAAATAATTCAATATAGATATTACAGAGGATTTTATTTTCTATTATTGAAACTCAAAATGCTCATCAAACATCTGCTTTAATAAATAGTAAAGATGGGGGACTCTCTCCTGGAAAGTAGTGTTTGTCAGGCAACCAGGACAATGATGCAGTGTAGTCAGCAATCTCTTACTTGTGGAAAAATTCTATGCTTTCTTCCTTTTTAAAATGTAAGTCCATTTCACTAGGAGGGTGGTGAAGCACTGGAATGGGTTACCTCGGTAGGTGGTGGAATCTCCTTCCTTAGAGGTTTTTAAGGTCAGGCTTGACAAAGCCCTGGCTGGGATGATTTAGTTGGGGCTTGGTCCTGCTTTGAGCAGGGGGTTGGACTAGATGACCTTCTGAGGTTCCTTCCAACCCTAATCTTCTATGATTCATCCTTATGGCTAATTTATAGCTGAATTGAAAATTTTGACTAACACTAAGGTATATTTCATTTTCACAGAGGCCAAAATCTTGATGAGCTCATTGAAGTAAAGGCTCCTGTGGAGCAAAATAAAAATCGGTGAGACTTAATTCATAGCTCTGTCTTACATTCATTGAAAATTAAAATGGTTTGTAGTGATGGAGCATTTTCCTGTGCAATACTGTGCATGGGAATGTTCCTTACCAATGTAAGCATGTAAACGTTTCAGATCTTTAGAAACACATATAAATTTATTTATAAATTTGCCTAATATAATTAATATATAGCTGTATTTATTTATTTTTTTAAAAAGTCAGAGTACGTTACTCCCCTTAGTGCATGCAAATATCTTGGTGTCACAAAGAAGTACTTGTAGGTGTATTAAGGTGTTTGATAGTTTAAAGTATACATCAATGCTTCTAGGATTCCTGGTCACTTGAGCTGTTGAAGTCTTGATTCATTTCATGAAACTGAATTTAGCAGTCAGTCTTTCAGGGAAAACATTCATGGTATTTTGTCTTCATTTAGAGAGAATCTTTCATCAAACTTTATATCTAAATGGACCCCCCCACGCTAAGTATTTAAGAAGGATTTGTCATTTCAGTAAAGTAATAATTTCAATCCTTTTCTTAATATAAAGGTGTTCACATCACAAAAGTCCCCATCAAGATGCTACCCTGGCTAGCAGTCTCATCAGAGAGGCAAAGACTGAAAGTATATAGAGAATGAACTTCTCTCTCCGCTCTTAAAGTAGCTCTGCCTCATCAGGGTTGAGGCACAATGGAGGGCACTGCTTCGTGCTACATGCTGTGCATGTAAAACACTGAAATGGAGGAAGATTCATTTAGTGGAGAATCCAGACCTTGGCAATCTCACTGCAACAAATCAAACAGCAGGCAAAATAACCAGTGTTCAGGCTCATGGTTATCACTTTCTCTCTGAATGTAACTTATAGCAGAGTTATAGCTTTTGACATACGGTTATAGTGGCCTTTTGTTTGAGCTTCACTGTAAAAAAAAATCATAAATATTGTTAGCATTTCCTATTTAAATCACTTTATTAGGTTGATGAGGTTAAGTTTTATGCTGCTGTAGAATGTCCTGTTTACAGCCATGAAAACTCTAGGAAACTGGGATACTTATACAGGAATCCTGGTGCTGCTTGGTGTGTCTATCTAATTCTAACTAGTCATTTCTAATGCACCCATCACTGTATTACACCGAAACATGTTCTTTAGACTCTGTTTTCCATGTGGCTTGTTCCTGAACTGAAACAAAACTCGAGTTTAAAAAAAAAATAACCCCAATATTGATTCTTTATTTTTTGTTGTCAAAATCTGTATATCTGTTCTGTGCTGGTATTTTAAAGTCCCCATTTAAAATGTAATATGTATCCAAAAATCCATTGCCAACGTTGCAGAAATATAGATAACATATAAAAACCCCACCATCAACACAACAATTTGACAGTAGAAATGAAAACTATTAATGGGAACCTTACAGAGTTTGGCATTCAATTAGTAAGAAAAACATGTAAAAGTTTGGATGTGCATCCAAGTCTACAGAGGGCCCCAACAAGACCCACAGCATTGTATCCCCACACAATCCCCTTGCCACAACAGGTCTTGTGATAAACTTTCCTTTCCAACATCTCCATACCAAACTAGCTGCTGTTGTCATCTTGGCATGAGGTTCTGTGGCCTTTTGGTTTCTTTAGTGGCCTCATTTTCAGATTTTGTGTATGTATTTGTGCACCCTGTCTGGTGGAAGCACAGCCTCTTTATCCCCCCACTCTCCCCAGCTCTCTCCTTCTTCCCCTGTTGCCCTCATTCACAGACCCACAAGGGATTCTTCTTGCCCCTATCCTTGCTGACCGCATACCTGCAGATGTCTTGTTTTAGTGTGGGTAATGGTCTGTATAGCTTTCACCCTCCTGATGTCTTCAGGGCAAGAGGGCTAGGTGGTAACTCCTTATTAGCTTCTTCAAGGATTAGGGAGCATTCAGTGAGCCCCCTGAAATGGCTAATAAGGACTCCCTGAAATTAAACAAGGAGGAGTAGTTGGTAAAAGCCACCAAGCCCTTCCCCAGGTAAGTGACATCACTGAGCGTTGGACAGGTTGTGAGAGTGGATGTGCCAGGGAGTGGGCTTGGACAAAAGGATGGAGGTGTGTGATGAGCAAACTAGAGCCAGGACTACTTCAGACAGAAAATAGACCCACAGTACTAAGATCAGTTTGGATCTGGGTTGTCTTCAGCTGAATAACCCTTTCCAAAGTTTAGGAGTTGGGGGGTGAATAAAATGGTTCTTATTTTGGCCCATCCTTTATTTAGAGGTCTTAGTCCAGTTGCCAACTGATAAATGTCCACATCACAAAACCACCACCACAAAACACTAATTGGCAACCTTGTCACCACCCTCATTAGAGTTGACAGGCACTGATTGGGGATGGACACCGAACAACTGGCTCACAACCTACAGATGGTCCCTCCAGGTCACCATAGAAGTATGAGAAAACTTGCATGGTTGCTGCCACCACAGCTTGACATGTCTGGGGGAATGCAGAACGATTTAATCTGCTGGGCTGCCAATCTGCCACATTTCATTACCGCTAAATTCACACCCTTTTTTTTAAAAAGAAAAGGAAAGAAAAAATGTCTCTTGTTCACTTTCTAATGTTAGTAACACACGGCCACATTGTGCCTTCAAGTGTCACTGAAAGTGGTCTGACTGTGCATGATTTAAAAATATACTTTGTGTCATAAATCTTTGTCTTGTCATTGTTTTTTTTAGGACAACTGAGCAACCCTCTGATTCTGCTAGTGCTCCAAATAACCGATCTGACACAAACTACTCTTATGACAACAGAGGATCCAGGTAGTTAATGAGTTACAAAGATTAAATAAATAATGCCTCAAGCATTTTCCTTACACAAAATCCAGGCAAACAGCCTTTATGCGTGAAAGTTCCATGGAGACTGGAATCCTCCCACCAGCCTGTGGAGTGGCAAGAGAAACAAAGGATATATTTACTGGCTGTGCCCTTACACTCTCTGCCCCACCCAGATACCTCCTTCCATGCTGCTATGGATAGAACCTCCAGGTTACACTGCTCCAAGGCACATGGTGGGCAGAGACACCTTGTGTCATCTCTCACCTTTCTCAGCAGAACTGTACTGAGTTTTCTGCCTTACAGGCCATGCATAGGCTGAAGCAAATAGATTTTTTTAAAAGATGCTTCCCTTTCAGTGCTGGAGTCTCTTCCTTTAGCTAGGATCTGTAACTACAGACACTTAGTATTGTAAATCTCAGTGAAAACTGACCAAATTTATGCCCTGGAAGCTTGGAGAAAGTACCAGCTTGCCACTTATTGAAGGGTAGCAGGAAAGCAGGTGAAAATAAGAAATAACATGTTTTTCTGCACAAAGTCATAACAGGATTATCAAATGATTAAAAATCTTTTGACAACAAATAAACAATGTATCATTCTGCCTGAATGAAAGAACACTCTGGATGTAGAAATGAAAGCCCCAGTGATGTGATATTTCTGTTTAAACATGAAAATGAGTATAGTCACTCTTCAGGAGCAAACAGCACAACCATATTACTAACACAGGGCTAGACTGTGCCTTTAAGCACGGTCCTGTGTAAGTGGCAGTCCATAACTTCACATCCCTAGGAGGAATAAAGGGAAGGAACTGTGACTTTGAACCATAATTCCTTCACTCCTCTTAGAATCATAGAATCCTAGAATATCAGGGTTGGAAGGGACCTCAGGAGGTCATCTAGTCCAACCCCCTGCTCAAAGCAGGACCAATTCCCAACTAAATCATCCCAGCCAGGGCTTTCTCACGCCTGACCTTAAAAACCTCTAAGGAAGGAGATTCCACCACCTCCCTAGGTAACCCATTCCAGTGCTTCACCACCCTCCTAGTGAAAAAGTTTTTCCTAATATCCAACCTAAACCTCCCCCACTGCAACTTGAGACCATTACTCCTTGTTCTGTCATCAGGTACCACTGAGAACAGTCTAGATCCATCCTCTTTGGAACCCCCTTTCAGGTAGTTGAAAGCAGCTATCAAATCCCCCCTCATTCTTCTCTTCTGCAGACTAAACAATCCCAGTTCCCTCAGCCTCTCCTCATAAGTCATGTGCTCCAGCCCCCTAATCATTTTTGTTGCCCTCCGCTGGACTCTTTCCAATTTTTCCACATCCTTCTTGTAGTGTGGGGCCCAAAACTGGACACAGTACTCCAGATGAGGCCTCACCAATGTCGAATAGAGGGGAATGATCAC